CACAGGCCTCCTCCTGGGTCCAGCTGGGTGGGGGGGAGGGCGTTCTGGCCAGGCCCACCCTCCTGCGTCGGAGAGGGGGGCTCCATGCGCTGGAACATGAGGGGTGTCCGGTTCTGGGAATGCAGAGGGCAGTGTTTGTGTGTATGTGGGAGACCGTGGGGAAGGGGTAGAGCCAAGTCTCTGGGTAGAACGGCAAGAACTCATGGGGAGACGACCTTGGAGGGTGCCCCCTACCCCGCACCAGGGCTGAAACCCGAGAAGTCTACTGACACCTCCAACACACGCACCCTGCTCCAGCAGGGCCCACGCTCCTTCCAAAAGTGCCCAGGCTCGGCCCCCATCCTGTCAGTTCCCTCTGTGGCCACCAGAGGGTGCCACCAACATGCGCCGTTAGGGCGAGTAGTCCTTGGTCCACTCAGGCCTCTAGGGCTCCCACGGACACAGGGAAAACCCCACATCCTCCCTGGGGCCCACGGCTGCTGCATGGCCGACCTGGTCATTTCCTGCCCTCGTCTCCGCCCACTGGCCTCCTCGCTGCTCCCCAAACTCACCAGGCACGGCTGAGCCTCAGGGTTGTGGCACTGGTGCTCTCTGTGCCAGGAGGGCCCTTTCTCTGGCCAGACTTCCTTCAGCTTGGCTCACAGGTCACCTCCTCAGGGAGACCCCTGTTCCCTGTCCCCTGAGTACCCTTTCCCATTTGTCTCAAAGAGGCCCCCCGCCCTCCAGCACCGTGTCACCTGATCCACGAGAGCCGGACTCAGGAGGGCCTCTGTGCCCCACTCCACCTTGCAGGGATCTGTCCGGGCATTGGCCCCCCCACCCCTGTCCTGATTGGTGTCTGTGGGTTGACCAGGGCCCTGAAGCCCTGGGCGGCATACCTGCTCCTCACGCATGGCCTGCAGCTTCTTGGCCTTGCTCTGCCGGTAGTACTCCATTATCATCATAGCAGCGTAAATCTTCCCCACTGTCAAGTCCGTGGCTGGGGAGGGAGGGCTTATCGTGGGGAGGGCGCTCCTTATCCGCACCCCCCAGCCCAGGCCAGAGCCCTGGGGCAAGGCTCTTACACTTGTGAGGCGTGACCAGCAGGTCTAGCGTCTTCTGGGACAGGTTGGGCCAAATGGCCATCATCTCCTTGCGCAGTTCGGCGTCCATCTGCTGCTTGTCAGCTCCGCCTGCAACGTGGACACAGTGGCTCTGAGCTCGGGAGTGCAGGACAACGCTGTCCTGGTCCCCATGGGGTCCCCAGTGGCCCAGGCTGCCTGGAGGAGGGCCTGGCATCAGGAGGAGTCACGAACCACAGTGGGGCTTGCACTGGTCACCCCTCCCCTTGCTGTGCCTCAGTCTCCACTCTGTGCAACGAGGGGCCACAGTCCCTGCCACACTGGGTCATGTGTGTGCCACGGGTCTACAGGGCCACCCAGGGAGGCTGGGACACCCGCAGGTCCCTTGGCTCCCTGTCTACCTGTTCCCACCCACATCCTTGGTGGGATTTGGCTCCGTAGGGCTCTCCTAGCCAGGGCTTGCTCAGGCAGTGGCCAGGGTTCTGGCCCCTCTGCCATTTGTAGCAGGAGGGTGGGCCTTGCTGGCCCCTTGTGGGGGCTGGGGCCAGGGCCAGTGTGATCAGTGACATGTCCTGTGGGGCCCGGGCAAAGGCCTCCAGTGTGGCCGCTGGTGATACTCTCAAACCCAGGGGGCCTCAAACTACGGCC